ATCTCTCTCTTTCTCTAGATTTCTAGCTTCTCCTCGTATCCGATTCCAGATCCTCTGTTTTCATTCCAACAATGGCTGCGGTAAGAACAATAACTCATTTCACATCTTAATCTTTTATACCGAATTCTGATTCATCTTGTATTGTTGATATGATTTCAAAAGTTCTCTCCTTCATTACATTCTTGAAAAAAGTCTCAAACTTTGGCTAATAAATAAAGAAAGGTTATTTTCACCATTTGCCAAAGTTTCAGAATTCTGCGGTTTTGATGATGAACAAGTCTGTTTTTTTGCTGGGTGTGTAGGGAAATAAAGGGAGACCATTACCAAAATTTGGAGAATGGGACGCGGGTAATCCAGCCTCGGCCGAAGGATTCACGGTCATTTTCAACAAAGCTCGTGATGACAAGAAGATAAAGAAAACCGCCGTGGCAGGACCCGAGAGTCTGGTTTCGCCTCCAAGAAACGAAGAAACTCATCAGAACAACAACCATCATCATAACCGTAATTCCCAAACCCCACGAGCAAAGGTACTTTCTCTTTTTTTTTTTTCCAGATAGAAAGACCCAAAAATCCTATCTTGATAATAAGAGTAGACTGACTACTCACGGATATTAGGTGATCTCTATTTGCAGAAGAAATGGCTATGTTTCCGTTAACGCTGGTTCGGGACTTGTTTTGAAGAACCCGACGATAAGGAAGTAGAACCGGTGAGCAGAGTAATCTCCAACATGACAACGACCAAACCTGTTTTCGTCCATTATGTTTTTGCAAACTTCCTTTCTTCTTCTTGCTCGTTGAGTTTCTCTTTACAACTTTGCTTTGGCCACATTTGGGTATATAAACATACATTATCCTTGCTACTACTTGGTTTGATAACATAAAAATTGAGAACTTACATGATTACGTACAGCCTGCGAACGGCTTCAAAACCCTGAATAACACATTGAGACAAAACAAGCATTCAAAGTTCTTAGGTTCCAAAACTTCAAATCTATAAAGTCTGATAGCAGTTTCAGCAGCTGAATCTGTAATCAAGCAACTCTGCTCTAGGGTTTAGCTCCCATCACATCTAATATGAACCAACCAGGGTTGAATCCAGGAATTAGTTTCACACAAAATAAACAAACCAATGAAAGAAACAGGCAGGCTCCATTAAACCTCAAAGAGTCGAAGGATGGTTACAGATTACAAACATTCTTTGGTGTAAACCTGTCAAAAGCACTCTGAGGATAGGCTTGCCACATAGATATTGTTTGGAGATTATAGTTTACCTAAACGTTTTGTAAAGAAAATTCAAACCCACGAGAGAGACAAAAGTTAATAATTATGTAAGCTCCTGAATGTTTGTTTTCAATTCCAACCGTCACTTTCATTCCCATTTGTGCCGACCTGAGGAGATTCTACTACGGCTTGGGAGTTTCCTGTTGAATATGAAGGCTGAACGGAATGGTCGAATCTACAAGCAGGACCAAATTTGCAGATGCCATAACGACTGTAATGTGTGCAGATGTTTTGATCCTGGATTTCAGTAAAACGGTCAGTCAAAACCCGAAGGATTACTATTTTGAACACTTCCAATCGGGTCAGTTCTAGATTCTTTATGTCATTTAGGGCTTTCCTAAGAGTCATTGAGTTCATCAAACATTCAAGAATTAAGAACAGTTAAGCAGACAAGACAATACAGTCGATAAAAAAGCCTGCAATATTATAATACTAGCACACAAGAACAGAAACCGGAAGGGAAAAAACGAACTTACAGGTCTAAGGGGTAAACCCTTGTCATTGAGAGCATAAGGAGGCTGTTTCGGCAGTCGATTCTTAGGATGATGGTATTTGCAATTGAATTTGAACTTGCAGTCCCCAGTTTTAAGATAATAACTGCACTCAGGTTGGTCTGGGCGTTCTGGGAATTCCTCAGCAGGCATCTGATGTTTGTATGGTGAGAATATATTTGTTTCAGCTAATGAATTGTTCATAAGGTATGTGGTGGAAAGATTAAACACACTCCTTTCTGATGAATACACAGATGCCTAGGCAAATACGAAAGAACAAAAATAAAATTATCGTAGATAACTCGACTGAAACAGATACGATTTTAAGATCCAGAGCTGAAGTACTTACAACCTGATAGCCATTCCACTCTGGAGTTTGAGATGAAACTCTACGAGCCTGTGACAACATGGCTGGAATAAAAGGACTTGTACCATTCGCATGCCTTGGTGAAGACCAGGAAGTCGAACTTGCTTGGAATGTGGACTTTGGGGAAAATGATCCAATGGATCCACCATTATTACCATGAAATGATGGAGAGTCGGTTCCTCCAATAGTTGTAGGATCAGGATGATTAAATTTGCAGTCAGCTCCAAATTTGCAGGAACCATTGCGCATGTAGTAAGGGCATTCTATTTCTCCCTGTTAATGGGTTTCATTGCATCACTATATAGCTTTGACAAGACTAGAACAGAATGCCAACAAAAACAATTTGATGGAATACCGCTCTGATAGGAAGTCCGAGGAAATTAAGCTCTGGTACTGAGGACTGAAAAGTCTTTGGTTTCATGTGGTTGAATCTACAAGTTTCTCCATATTTGCACCCTCCAGTCCTGAAGTAATACTGCAAAAGCTCATGCAAGATATCAGTAATGTTCATAACTGATAATAGAACGATACTTCAGAAACTATAACTAGATGCACACGAGGGCATGTAACAAAGTTAAGGGAGAAGTAAATTAACCTTGCAATCTAGCAGTCTCAGTTTATCAACATCCTCTTCCTTTTCTCTTATTTTCACATCCCTAACAATCTATAAAATAACGAAACATATAAGAAAACGAAAAAAAAAAAATCAAAAGAATAACCTCAAAACTAAAAACATAGATTGATTCCATCAGAATAAAGCTTCCTCCTTTTGTCCATCAACAAAGGCATATATGCATATACACACGTGTGCTACTGATTATAAAATTATGTTGCTTAATAAACAAATCTTCCCTAAGATCAATAAAAAAAACACAATTAAGAAGCAATATCATCCTTGTCAGAAAGCAAAGGTGCAAAGAATAAGAAAATAATCTCCTTTAGCCAAATAGAAAAGCATAAGAGCAAGAGTAGAATATGAAAAGGTTACTTGGATTTTTGTGTCAAAAGGATGATTGAATTTGCAAGTGGATCCGAATTTGCAGCTCCCATTTCTCATGTAAAACGAGCAATCCTCTGCTCCTGGCCTCACTGGATATCTTTTCTCGAACTTGTTCTCACTCTCACTCCCACCATAATCACCATCTCCGTCTTCTTCCTCCTCTTGAATCGAATCTACACCTCCATTATTACTGTCAGAGACACTAATCACCGCCTCACTCTGCTCTTTCGTAACTTGAAAGAAACCCACATTCTTAAACTCGTCACTAAGCTCCTCCGCCGCGTGATTGAGATCGGAAAGAGATCGATCAGCAGATGGGTCCTCTGAGGAAGATCGAGACGCGGATTCCGGCACGAACCCGTCTGCGATTGACCCGGAGATTCCTTCTTCGGAATTAACCATT